GAGTGTTAACGCATCCACTTGTTTTTAGAGCCATGTCTATCCTGTTTAGCAAAGGCCTCCCAGGAGGTGATGTGTGGTTGGGTCCATGTGATGGGAACTTTTTTGAGGGAGGGTGATTTTGCCTGCCTTGAATGAAGCAGTGGTGAGCCTTCCTCCTCGCGAGATTATTACTGGACTCAACAGTCCTGACTCCAGGCTCCAGTCTCCTCTTTCTGGGGAAGGTTGTTGAGAAGTTGATCAGGCGGCAGCTTCAGGAGGCCCTGGAGGAAACAGATTATCTGGATTTTTTAAAGTCAGGTTTCAGGCCAGGGCTGAAGCCACCACTGATAGCACTTGTCAATGCAAAAACCGCAGATGGGGATGCCAGCTTCCTGGCTCTCCTTGATCTCTAAGCAGCCTTCAATACCATTGATCATGGTATCCTTCTGGACCAACTATGGGGATCGGAAGGCAGGGGGCATGGTGTTGTGATGGTTCTCCTTCTTTCTTCGTGGCCAATTACAGTTAGTTAACACCATGGGAAGGGAAAGATTGATTCCAAATTCCCTGACCTGTGGAGTACCATAATGCTTGATGCTCTCATCCCTCCTGTTTAACTTCTTAATGAAGTTGCTGAGAGAGGTCATCTGTTGATGCAGGATCATGTATCATCAGTATGCTGATGATACTCAGCTGTATATCTTGACCCTCAGCCAGCCAGGTGATCCTGTCAAGGACTTGTTCCAATGCCTGGAGGCTGTAGGATCTTGATGGAGAGGAACAGATGTAAGCTCAACCCTAGCAAGAGTGGATGGCTATGAATGCATGGGCCCCTTGGATCCAGGGACCTTCCACTTCTATTTCTGAATGGGTTTGCAAAACTAGATTCCCCAGAGGGAACAGATGTGCAATTTGGGAGTCTTCCCGGACTCTCAGCTCCTGGTCGAAGAGCAGGTTCCAGCTGTAGCCAGTAAGGCCTTTGCATATATCGGTCTTGGGTACCCGTTGTGCCCTTCCTAGACTCACAGTCACTCATGCCTCAGTTATTGTCAGGCCCAGCCCAAGTACAACAGGGAAACAGTCCAGTCGAGTTTAGTTCTTTTATTGCTTGCACCGTATAGACAAAATCTTGCCAGACTCAACCTGTACTATTGCAACTAGTGGATATACCCTGGGAGATTCTAGGGAGTGGCTATTCTAAACTTATACTTCCCATGCTCCTGCTCCAGAGTGTGTTGTCTCCTGCCTCTCTGCCTTTTTTGGAATGCACCCCCTCCTTCCTGAGAAACTTGCTCTCTCCTGCAATCCACCACATCACCACATTTGTGGATAAGAATATGAGAGAATGTATATGATGGGTATGTATCAATATGTATATGAATGATTACGTTTGTGTACATACATACTTTTGTCTGTGAGAAAGGGATAACTATCATAGTTATTTGTATAACCAGTGCACAACTATTTTTTGGACTAAGGACCACCTTAATCCCAAGATACCACCTTCCTATGCTTGAGTGGTATCCTGAGAGCTACACACCAGAAAATGGGCAGAGTCAGGACAACCTGAAATTACATTAATACAGCAAAGACATGACTTCTGTGTTTTTAATCACTTTCTCCTTTCATCACATCAAATATTACAATTCAATAGAAAGTTTTGAAGAATTTGGGCTGTCGCTACCAAGTGTTTGCGGAGGAGCTGCATTGGGACATCTGCAAGGGAGTCAAAAAAGTCAAGATGGTGGCTGAAACTATGTGATTGAAGCCATGCCTCTTTTTTACATTCTTTGCATATATGACATGTGTAAAATAAGGGTGAGGCTTCATGCAGTCACAGGCATTATCTTTACTTTTTTGGCCACCCCTCTCCATACACCCCCATGCTGCATGCAGTCCTCAGGTCTCCTGTTGTGCACCCCAGTGTATGAATGTGACAAGAATGGGTAACTCTCAGTTCCACCCCCCACCCTCCTTTTTTGTAACCTCTGGAACCCGGTCCAACTATGCTGCTGGATTTCACCATTTCAGTTGCTGTGATTGGCACATAAAAACAATAGTGTAACCCCTTAAATAGATTTAATGACTTTTTAAAGAAATAAGAAAAAAAAATAAACCTAGAAAATAAAACAGGAAATGCCCCATCCATGTGTGCATAAGCAGGCTTACAAATTTTGCATCATTGCCCAGTTCACTGCAACCCTTGCCTCCTCTCCCAGGTAACAAATTGTGTAGGTTCCTGGCCACCAAAAGATCACCCACACTTCATTGAGAAGCATCACTTTAGCAAGGACTCTCATCTTGCAGCTGCAATTGGTCTACCTAAAGTTGTTGTTTTTTTCCTGCTATTCTCCATCAATTCTAGATAAAACCTTGGAGTGTATCTGCCGCTAACTCTCAGTTCTCACGATTTGCTTGAAGGCAGATCGCAAATTGCCTTTTCATTTAGATCTGGTAATCAGTGGCCATTATATGTGGGCTATTTACAATGTACGTTGGATTGGCAGTAATGGCAGGCTGTAAAGCAGGATTCAAGTGGTTTGACATTCAGACTTTCAGCTTAGGTTTGTGGTCCATCAGATCATAGAGCAAGCAGACAAGAAGGGCTTGCTCAGTAATTGTCTTTTGTATGCTTGGATAGCCTGCTGGGCTTCATATGAATTCAGCAGCAGTAGCATCTTCTCAGACTGCACTTAGCTGAGCCTCTGTTTTGACCTGCTGAGAACCTGTTCTGTTTCTTCAGTGGCAAAGATGGAATCTCTGGCTGCAAGGATGACCAAATCACTATGACTCACTACGTGAGATGGGCGGCTATACAAATGTGATTAAATAAATAAATAAATAAATAAATAAAATGGAGACACTCTTACTCTCATTTTCTCCTGATTTTTAAAAGGGCAACAACAAGGGGTTATCTTAAGGGCAACAACACAGTGTTATAAGGATAAATGTTTTGCTTACTATTTTATCAGAGAAGAACATTTTAAAGCCCTAATTTATACAATCACTGTTTTTTTATGAAACCATGATTTCATATTCAGTATGTCCATTGGAGGCATCTCAGCTGAGAAGGACTACTCTGAAGTCCCCTTTTTTTCATGCTGCCAAGTCCACATCCTGATGCATTTGGAAAATGGGCTCTGCAAGCTACTGAGATGATTGTCCTGAACGTGCTTCTTTTAAATATTTTCTTTTATGAACTTTTTTTTTTTTTTTACCTACACTATGGTGGCCAGAACATAGCTACAAAGTTGAAACATGTGCTATTTTATTTATTCTGCATCTGAGTACATACTTAGAAACTTCTTCAAAGCTGCAGACTGTTGTATCCCCAGATAGGACACTTCATACTCTGAGAATGTAGAAATAGCCATGTGTTGATTGGTGGGTGAGAAAGCCTGACTGCCCAAATTTTTAAATCCAGGAACAGAAGTGTCTCCATACCCATAGTTGTAAAATATATCTATAGATCATGAAGGAGCATGAAACTCCATGAAAGGATCACCATGCTGCCCAGCCATACTCAACGAAGTCCTGATATTCAGTAAGATTGCATCTAATTTCACAGGATTAGCAGATCCAAAGATCTCTTCAGGTTGCTTAAATCCTGGCAACATTCAGACTAATTTACTGCCATGCATCTTATACAGAGCTGCCTCTAAAGATGATTTTAAATTATTCAGCTTAGCTGCTGGTGGAAGGTATGAAACAGCCTTGGTTATGTATTTTCTTCCAGCATTAATATTGGCATTTCCAGCCCTAAATAGTTTGGGCCCAGGTTATTTGAAAGGTCACCTGCACCCATATGATCTTCTCAGGCCTTAATATTAACCACCAAGAGACTGCTTGCTAGATTGTCATTAAGGTCAAAGAGACAGAGACTTTCCCGAATTTGCCCAAGGGATATACGTTTGACTTCATCTTCTTCCCTGTTTGCTTTTAATGGATGTTAAATACTTATTTTATCCTCATATGTCTTTAGTGAAAATGATGGGCTGGATTTTTAAACTATTATTGGTTTCTATTTTTAAAGCATAACACTGTTTTCAGGATTAGGAATTATACAGTTCCTGCTGTTCTTTCTTTAAAAAATATTATTTTAGATTTTAGGATTTTTTTATCATATTGATAATAATGTGGCTTGAGAAACCATTGATCCTTATGTATTACATTATGTTATTATAATATTAGAGCAAAGTTGATTTTCAAAAAATGACCAATACAGTGACTGCCACAATATATAACTATGTACATACCACCATTACCAGAAAACCATTTGTGATATCATAATGCAAGAAGTTCTGCCATTCACAAATTGCAATGTGTGAATAGTTCTGTGGAATGAAATTATGAAAACAGTTAAATCAGTTTAGTCTATTGCATATATGATAAATCATTTGATGATTTCTGTGTAAGCATTTTCTCAGGGAGAATCTTTGGGGCGCAAAAGTGTTCTTCATTTTAACAACACAACAAAATACTAAGTGAGAACAAACAACTGCAAGCTTAGCCTCTGCAAATTCAAAAAAGGTAGAGAGGCCAATATTTATGAGGTCAAGCTGCTCAGGGAACAATTCTCTGATTATGTGCACTTCAGTTCTTGAAAACTGACACCGTTCTCAGATGATGAAACATTGTTAGCCTTTAATTGTTTTGCTTCCTTTTTACAGGATGCTGTATCTACCCACACTGGCAAATACCATGAGGATTTGTTCAATACAGTGACAAAATCCTCCATATCCTTTCTGATTGTTTAAGTTTCCCCAGCCTGGTGCTCCCAAGACACTGTATATTGGATTACAACTTCCAGATTTCCCAGCCAATGAAGTTTAACCATATTATCTGGATATTTGGAAGTTCTAGTCCAAGACCGCTGAAGGACATCAAGTTAGAAAAAGCTACAACTGGAAACTCCTGTTGTAAGACAATTCTGGTAATCCTTATTTTTTAGATACAGATGTTATATGAGCAGCAAGTTATTTAAAATATTGTCATAAAGATACAACAGAATCATGGGACTGGCTGACAGAGTTGCCATCAACTTTATTTATTTACTTATTTACCAATATTCCCCATGTCAGGTTACCAGATTGGTGGATCTTCTGTGCAGAGTGGTCATCCATAAAAGAGTGGAAAAGCTGTGTTTGCTTGTTTAAACTACAGCTACATTGTTAAGGGTTTCTGTTCATAAGATTTGAAGGTTTAGTCACTGTACTCTCAGATCTTCTCCTTGCTTGCTTTCAGAAAATTGAAGTGGGGTTACCAATTGCTTCTTTACAGATCTTGGCAGACCAGGATCAATAGAAATCTGTGGGGTCAGGTTAGCAGCAATGATGACCAACTTGCTGTGCTTGTTATTTGGATAGGGTATCCACCTCCATTCTTCTCTCCTGTCTGAAATTTCTTCACTACGCAGTCCTCTCCATGTAAAGTTTCCTGTTGGGAGAAGACCGATCCTTTCATTTAAAGACTAGATTTCCCAATTAGTTTTGAAGTTTTGTCAGTCTCTTATTAATAAAGCAATCTTATGCACACTTACTCAGAAGTAAGCCCCGCTATGATTTAGGAAGCTAACTCCCTAATAAGTGTATTTAAAATTGCAGCCCAACAGAGGAAATCCATGTCAATTGAATATTTAAAAATAATTTTACCATTTTGATATCATAACAAACAATGTAAAAATCCAGGACTTTATCAATGCGGTGATTTGGTGCCTGGGTCTCTTTCTCCCCAAAGCAGAAGCAACACTCTTTAAAATGCACTTCTTTGGGAGAAAGGTGATTGTTTAGATTTTTAAGGGGCAAAATTGTTTGGCAACCATTTCCTGCATTTGGAGAGGAAAAATAAACATAAATCTGTAACATTGCAGAATGCAGGCAGCTGAGGTGAACTCTGGCAGACATCATGCTCATGTTGTCTAAGGCACCTGAGACAGAAAGTGATTTATAACAATCTTGTAATGAACTTTGCCATCACTCTCCCCATCTGGAGCTCTGGGGCTGAGGCAAATTGACTTATCAGCAATCCCAGGTTAACTATGGGCATACAAACCTCAGGGCCAGCGGCTTCCTGAGGTGGAAGATGCTGGGAAGTGTAAGGTTCAGTGACAGTAGCTGCCAGCTATTCTGCCTGAATCCCCAGTTGTTCAGCTTTGAAGGTAGACAGTTCAGTGTCTCGACCACTAGCTTGCTGCCATAAGGTAGGGTGGAAGAGATGCTGTGTCCTAGTTACGGTTGAAATAAGATTCACTGTGCATGGAATGGAGGCGGGCATCATCTTCTTCTTTGCCTCGAGCAACCAAATGTCTTGGGATAGTGCTGTCAGACATAACTCACGTTCCTCCCAGTGACTGAAGGTAATCCTAGATAATAACCAAAACCAGGGGGCGTGCAAATCTGTATTTCTTTTCTGTCTCAGTGATTCCTTTTCTTTCCTTCTCTTCCTGTGGAAGTGACTCCCCTTGGAATCAAATTCTTTACAGAGTTTCTTTCTCATTTCTGCAGTTGTTCTGCAGAAGCAGCAGCTCCATGTAAAATCAAGAGTCCGACTCACTCAGGTTTGGAAACCTTTTTTTTTTAAAGGTGACATAGTGCAGAATTTGTTTCCTGGAGGGTTCAACAACTTCAGTCTTTCAAAAGCTGGGTTCAAACTCATTTGGGGATCATCCCCACATCCTGCTATCCATGCACAAAGATGCCTCACTAACCTTTTTCAGAGGACATATTCTCATGAAATTCTCTTTGTCTCATCTCCAGCCCATTGTGCATGCAATTTAAATTTGCCTTTCATTGTTCCAGTTGTAATGTTTTCCCCTTTCTCCTGATACGGTTTCCCATACAAACAAGCTACAGAACCTCACTGGCAAACTTGGTGATGACATGGCCCGGCCCCTGTTGGCTGTTTCAGGCTGTTGCAGGCATGACCCCTTCCCTTTGGTCACAAGGCTTGGTCCTCCTTAGCCACTGGGGCTGGATCCACAAGACAGACCAGACATGTGGCTTCTGCAAAAGCCTCCGCCCGTGTAATGCCTGATGGATGCATCCTGAAGCACTTGCTGGGTATTACATGGGCTGTTCAGTCACTGCCCTTAAACTGTCCTGCATTAAAAGTATAAGGACAGCGCCAATCACCAGCCTTGTCATTAAGACAGAATAAAGCTCAGCCACCAGAGCAGTGCAATTTATATCAGTATAATTTTCTGCCAGCTCAGCACTGGAGGAATACGTGTTAACATGGCTGTGAGGAAGAGCCCTATGTGAATATTTGAAACATCATGAAGGTAGTAAATCACTAGTGAAGCCAGCACATGGTATCTTCAGGGCTTGATAACATGAAAGCAGGCTAAACCCTGCAGGATATCATTCTTCAGCAGTTTGCTTTAAGATGTTTGTTTCTGTAGTTTCACTGATTACTTTGTGATGTTTAACGTGAGGCTACTCAGCAAAGGGGTGGCTTATGGTACCTAGGAAGGGCACCATCTTCAGGAAACATTGGATTATAAATCCCCTGGTTGCTGAAGAAGTGAAATGGAATTGGTACAATTTGTAAATCAGCAATATATATTAATGCAGTCTCTGCCCAGATGGACACCTTGCAGGTATGTGGACTTTTTCTAAGCCTGTCAGCTTGGATGGGATTACAGAGCAGGAAAACACCTTGCATAATCATATGGACAGGGACATGAAAATGGGAAAAAGTCTTTCTGCAAAGGGCACTGAGCTTTTAAAGGCAAAATAAAAATGATCCCTCAGCTACTCATACATTTTTTTTTAAGTAAATGCAGTCCCAGCTACTCCTGTCCAGTCCAGCAAGTTTTTATTAAGATTTTTTAAAAATCTTAATGAAAAATAATGCCCCATAAATCTGTCTGATCAAAGCAAGACAGTAGAATGGAGCAATGTTGGGGTGTTCCATGCATTCCAAGTAGCAAGTGGCATCAAGTCTAGTGGGCTCTGGCATGCCCATACCAGTTGAGGTGCTGATGCTGGGCTTGTTAGTTGCTGCCCCATATCTGCCACTCTCTACTTATCTGTGGGAGCCCCTTAGACTGTAGGGCCTGGATTTCAACCATGAAGTCCATCATAGCTGCTTCATTGCAGGTTTCTGGAGGTGCAAGGGATCAAAGCCCTAGCATCAGCAAGTCCCTCTAAATGAAAAGTTCATCTGACTGCTTCTTGTATTTTCTCAGGCAGAAGATAACTGACAATGAGTTGGTCAACCTGCCTTTGAGATGCTGGCATACTACTGTCTTCTGTTGTTGGAATATAGCTTTATTTCTCTCTCCCTCCCCAAAACAAGGCTTCTTATATCATTCTTTGACTCCTGCCACTTCAGAAACCCTCAAAACAATCACCATTGCTCCTATCTCCAGCACTGGGGCTGTTCCAGCGGAGTTAAAAGGGAATTCTTGGCAGGAAAGGCTGAGTGAAGAGCTTGGTCACTCTGGAGGAACATATGCTCCAGCAAGCCTAGGAGTGGCTCCAGCCACACACGTGTGCTGCTCAAATCTAGGTCCAGAAAGAGCAAAACATGGCTTGCTTTGCACATGAGTGTTCATAACAGATTACTGCAGCATCAAGTGGTCTCTTGCAGGTTAAATAGCACAGATAAAAAAGACTGTATTCAAAAAGGATGTCATTATTTGTAACCCAGGACATGATCTGAGGGCATGTAACTCAGCAAGCTTGCTTCAGCTAAGCATGGTATGCATTTGGAGAATTATAGACTCTGGATGTAATGATAATTACTGGTACTAGGGCTTATACCTGAACATGAGTGTTTGGCAGTGTACCTGCTCATTCTGCTGAGCAGTTTCCTGAACTTCTTCCTGGAACTTCTGGATTCTGGTTGAGTCTTGATGGGATACCATTCCTGTAAGTCAAAGATGAATTAAAGCTATGGCTTACCTGATGCTTCCGAATTCCCACTTCCACCATTAGCATTAAGTACCTTGTGTTAAGTGAGGGGTGATGGAAGTTGCAGTCCAGTTCCATAGAGGGTGCTACACTTTGCTCGTTCCTGCTGTGAACAAAATATCCGAACGTGGGTGCATCAGTAAAATAAGTAAAGAAGTAGCTGGAAGGATGGCCGTGTCTAGGCAGCCTCTCAGAAGAACTACCTGACTGGAGAGCAAGAAGGGATACCGCTAACGCAACTGTCAGAAGGAATGCTGTACTGCAGATATATTTAATGACTTCAGGGAGGGCCGAGAGTGTTCTGGGGCCAAGTTAGCATGAGGCTTTCCCCCCCTTAAGATGTCTTCTACAATCACTTACCGTGAAGCATGAGACTCTTGCAGACCCTGAAGCGTGAGAGTCTTAAAAGGAAAGCTCTCTGGGGGTGAAGTTCAGGAGGCCTTTGTCTGGCAGACTGTCTGAATCCTCTGTTTCCTGAGAAATCACAAGTGCAATTTGGGGGCCATGGCTAGCTGCTTGTGCACCCCCTGCGACACAGACATCCATCTATTTCTAGATGCACAGTGGAGAGCTCATAATATGCACACATGCACGCACACACAGACACAAAGGCCCATCATCCATCGGAGCTGAATTATATTTGCTAGCAGCGGGGGGAAGAACAGGGGCTTTTGTGGTGTCTCTTTAATGCTTCTAAACAATACGGGCGGCTGCTGGCACTCCTGTGCTCCTTTCCCTTCAATGCAAAGAGAGAAAGATGCTCACAATGCTAATTTATTTGAGACGCCGCAAGAGCAGGTTTCAAACAAAAAACTAACTTTGAAAAAGAGAAGGAACAGAGTTCCAACAATAAGCTCTTCTCCCTTTCCAGGATTTTCCTTTGTCCCAGGTGCCAGGATGGAAGTGCCTGGAGCAGCCTACGCAGACCTACAGAACTGCATCTGGATCACTGGGCCAATGAGTGGAGTATAACTGCCTGGGAAAGCCTCTCCACAACCAACGTTTCAGACAGGAGCCTTTCCTAGCCCTTCTCAGACAGCCTTGGGATGGAACCATGACACTTTTGCAAGTAACCTGTCCTATGTTACTGAGGCATAACTCTGTCCTTTAGCACTCAGACAAGAAACTGACATTAGTGAGTACCAGCTGATGCCCACACACTGAAGGCTCTCTCCTACCAAACCCCTGAACTTCTGACCACGCTTGTCTTCCTTCTTGCTGTCACTGTCCATGCTTCTATCCAAGTGAGTGAGTTTATTACAGTGTGCAAACTAGATCAGTGTGTCCTACTCTGGAGCGGAGATCTCAGCTTTGTTCTCTGTAAAAGGCCATACACATAGGTAGATAGATAGGCAGATAATTTTAACAGGAAGCAAAAACCATACTTCCTAAATGGCCCTCTCCCAACCAAATCTAGGACTTCCTGATGCACAGTTCCACTCTATTACCACCGCAATTCACTGTCCTCTTAGGAAGGAGCAAAACCATTGCAGCAAAGTGCTCCTGATTCCCAACCACTCTGCCCAGATTCTCCAGAAGGATATTATGATCAGTGGTACCAAATACTGTCACGATGCCCCAAAAGACAACCAGAACATTTCCCCCGTCTACATCCTAATGCAGGTCATCCACTAGGGTGACTGAAGGGATTTCCATCTCATGTCCAGGTCTGAAATCTAACTGAAACATGTCTATATCATATACTTCCTCTACAGTGGTCTGTTGAAATAGGCTGACCTAGTACATTTTTGTAGGTTTCAGGAGTATCACCATGAGTGGAAGCAAGAAGCAGGACCTAGTCTGTCCAAGGCCTGGAAAAGCTGGATGTTCACGTTGATATTGAAGCCTCCTCCTTCCAGATGCTTTGGGCTTTGGGGGGCACTTGGTAGGCCTACAATACTGTCTTCATGCAAAGTATCTTTTTCATGCAATGAGAAAAAGTCACACAGACCAAAAAGGATGTGGCTTCCTAACTTATTTTCTAACACCAAAGCTAATCAATATCCCTGTTTGCATAACATGCTTAACTCAGAGAAGAAGCCAGTGAAGCCTTCATACTGGTGGTTCTGGCAGTACAACATACTAACTAGATCAACAGTCACCCTCTGGGGAAATCTAGTCTCCACCACTTTCTTCAGAAACTGCCTGGTATACCATGAGCACCAAGACAGTATGGTCAAGGTTTCACTATATCACTAGTCCCATTCCTATTCCCAAGAAGACAACAGAAGGGTTGGCTTTACTACTGTGGGCACGCAGTGTTGGGGAGATGCGTTCCATGCTGACAGGCCAGGTTTTGGCAGTGAGTTCTGTAATGGAAGGCTTGTTTTTTCAACCATGCTTTTTCTCCAATTTTTTTCTTGGAGAATAGATAGGCAACATGGGGAAATTGCCTGGGTTTTGGTGTTCCATGACAGCAGATTGGGTGGAATTAGTTTAAATCTATGGACGTTATGGGCTAAATCTAGTACCCCAGGGTTTAGTTGACTGGGCTAATCAACCCATTTTTGGTGTTTCCATGACCAACTATCTCCTTCATGACCCATTTAAGCAAAGTGTGGGAACTGAGCCACTGTAATGCTTAGCTGAAATGCTTTAGAATAATAGAGATGGAAGGGACCATTTAAGCATTGGTCCAATCCCCTGCTTAAGGCAAATTATCCAAATTACAACTTCCCTGACAGATTATCAGCCCAGCCTCAACTCCAATGTATCAAGTAAAGGGAAACACACCACTTCTCTGGGTAACTGGTTCTGCTGCCAAAGTATTCTTATCTTTATGAAATGTTCCTAGCATTCAGCCCAAATCTGCCTTACCCTAACTTAATATAATTATTCCATGTTCTAGAGGTCTTAAGCTTCTTCAGTTACACTTCAAGTATCTGAAAAGTGCTATTCTATCTGACTCATCTTTTCTCAAGGCTAAACTTACCTAGTTCCCTCAGGCTGTCCTTAAATTCCAGATCTCCTTGCCCTTCTCTGCGCCTGTTTCTGTTTCAATTTCTCTGAGACCTTCTTAAAATGTGATGCCTAAGATTGGGTTTAATTTGTACAGAATATAATGAAACTATTACCATCTATGATTTAAAAACTCTATGGATGCAATCTAAATATTGCAGTTGCCTTTTTTTAAGCTGCCTCAGGAGATACCGGATTCCATCCTCTGCCCATTTAAGCACTGTCTAACGGCATATCGGATACAAAAAATAACTTCCAGATGTGCTAGGACTTCAAGCCTCATCACTCCCCCAACCAGCATGGCCCAATTAATATGTTAAGCTAGACAGAATATTAGGGCCCTTAGGCTAGATCAGGCTGAAGGCCTCCCTGGTCTGAGGATCTGTGCAGCACAGGGGCTGTTCCGATGCCTATGAAAAGGACACAAACGGGACAGAAGAGGGATTGTTTTTCTTCACTGTTGTTTCCTGGCAGGAGGTATTTAAGTAATGCTGACTTTCCTTCTGAAGGTTTAATATAGCCATCAAGACTAATAAGCACTAATCGCCCAAGTCTCCATTAATCTGTGCCACCCACTGGACTAGTTGCCATAAGCACATCTCATGGAATATGTTGTATATGAAGTATATTCTTCTCTTGGCCCTGAATCTTCCCACAGAGTTTCAGTCGATTACCCCTAATTCTAACCCTGGGGGAGAGGAATGGTCCCCTGTCTAGATTTTCCACACCAGGCATGATCTGATATATTTTTGTCATGTTCCCATTCACCCATTTTATCTAAGCCAAAAAGCCCCACATGCAATAGTCTTTTTTTCATATGGGAGCTGAGTAACTCCCTAATCATTTTCTTTGCTTTTTCTTACATTTTTTCTAGCACTATAATAACCTTGTTTAGTGGTGAAGTGATTACAGCTGTGCACAGGATTTCAAGTGTGGTTGTACCATGGATATATAAGCATCTTTATGATGGTACATTATGCTTAGTATAATATGACTCCAGTTTTTTTCCCCTGATCAATCTCCCAGCCCAGGCCCCATTAGGATGTAGAGGGTTTTTTTTGTTTTTTTTTAAAGTGCCGTAATGTACATTATTTTACATTAGAAAGAACCCACCAGAGCGTTTTGTACTCCTTTTTCCATTTTACCACACTGAATAATTTGATATCATCGGCTAACTTGGCATTTGATTGTTCACATATGTGCCAACTCCTCTAGTTTGGCTGGGATGCCTGGATTTTCAAGGCCTACTCTAAAGTTCCTCTCCAAGATCCTGGGATCAGCTGCAGAAACATGCAACCACCTTCTCCACTGCTGCTACAATTCAGCCTTTGCAGGGTGGAGGTGGGAGATCTCTCATCCTTGCCCTTCCGCATCATGGTGCACGGGGAACAGAGGGCAGCCTTTCGGCTCTGGAGTCCTGCCACTTCAGTTACAGACACAGAGTGTGCGTCTGCACTTGCACATGAGTCCCTCGGCCCCCCACCCCACCCCACCCCACCCCCCAAACAACAGAGAGGGAGTGATTGGTTCACAAACTGCTCCAGCAGCCCTTGGTTCTCACTGGGTTCCCTGGTTACAGAATTTCTCAGAAATCCTGGGGGGTTGGGTGGGAGGACCATGTGGATGGGGCCAGATAAGCCCCCCCCCAAAAAAAGAAAAGAAAGAGGTAAGTACCAAGAGTGGCAGTATGCAGTAAGGTTTGGGTGGGAAATTTCACAGAGAGGATCTGAAAGTCACTTGAAGTGCACAGGTCCATTTTCCTAAACTAGTTTTATTTTCAATAATTGATTATTATAGAAAAATATTCATCATGTATTATTTAAGTTATGTACTTAAATTCCATTTAGTCCTTTTCTGATTCAAAATGGCATTTTATTTTCCAGTCTGCTTAACTGCAAATCCAAAACAGTCCAAAGTTTTATGCCTATTGAAGCATCATGGGACAGTGAGCAGAAGGAGTTGCTGTAGATGAACCATATGCAGAAAACACAGATACTAAAAACGATCTTTGTGTGCTGATGACATTGAAAATCAGTATATTCCAAAAAATGCAACACTATTGAAAGACCACCAGGTAATCCACATCAAGCAAAACCTGCCAGATTTGGAAACTTTCAGAAAAGAAAGAAACTTCTTTAGAGTTTGGATAGCATTTGAATAATTTTTTTATCAGTTACTAACTGATGCTCATGGAAGGACCTGTCCTCTCTGACTTCTAAGTTCGTTCCAGACCCTTTGGTGAGAAAGCTTATAAAGATGTTGTAAGAAAAAGTAATGACTCCTGGTAATTGCAGGATACTTCTGCCTTCCAGTAGTGAGTTTTTCATGAGCCTCAGAGGAACAGAACAGTATGTCAGTCTAGGATGTTTAGCTCTTTCATATTCTCTAACAGAAGGACTCATGTGGTAGTGAGTGAGTACATCTGTGGAGGGTGGCAGGATTTGTACATGCAGGAAGCCAAGAGTAGCCTTGCAAAACCAAAAACAGCCAGCATTCTTGCAACATCTTTAAGAGTGACAAGTTATATTGCAGCCAGAGAAGATGAAGCCACAAATATAATGGCTGCCTCTTTGGGTGCCACATGATTCTTTGGTATTTTATTAGATCATATGGGAAATTCATGCAACATCCATGTTAATTATGAATCCAGTTTCAGCAATGGGACAGCAAGTTGGCAAGGCACTTTTAATTGGCCCAAGAAAGGGAAACTTACAAATTCCATTGTCAAGAAAATTAGGAAAAGGTCCACTTCAGATAAGAAATAATTTGCAGATTTGTAAAAGATAAGTTGTCTCTATGGAATCACAAAATATTATTTTATATATAATTCCTGCCCTGGCGACTAGGCAGAATGCCAATCTGCAGCAACACATCCAGAGAATGTTGGCCCAGAAGGTCATCACCATTGGCCATCCAAAGAGGGTTTTCCCAACTTAGCAGTTTGTTTGGAGAATGGAGAAAATACCATTCGATTGTTTGCCTTAGGTAGCAAAACATGCCGAGACCCAAGCTGTCTTAGATGGCTCTAAAGAGAGTTAATTATATGGCCACCGAATGGAAGTTTCGTGTTCAGAACAGAGCATAACATTCATGATGAAATGACAAGTCAAGAGCTCTTCCATTACCAACAGTAGAGCAAAGGGCTCATGTTCACCTTAAGAATTTCCAGGGAGTACTTTTACTCCCCAGAACATTGTACACTGCACTGGACAAGCCTTGGTCTGGTTCAGCAAGGCTAGTTGTGGTCTTTGTGACCATTGTATAAAAGAAAAAAATGCCACCATGCAAGTAAGACCTGGAAAGGACTGCATTCTCCCCATTTCTCACTTCTTCCAGTCTAGTAAGTCTGCAGAAAAGCACTTTGACTTCTAGCCTTCTTTCCTGAAGAATGAGCTGCTTTTATTCAGTTAACATCAGTAAACGTGCCTGTAGGGTCAGGAATGATGCTTCATTGCCAGGCTGAAGGGATACCATGGAAGAAAGAAGGCAGGATTGAATCTTTAAGAAGATTTAGATTAAGGTCTGCAGTAGGAGCTAGAGAGATCAGATGCTCCCCACCTCCGCTGTCATCCATAGGTCTCCATATGTGCAAACATCAAGGTTTAAATCTTGGCTTTCTCATAAGAAATGCATCTCCCTCAATTACATGTCCTTCTTTCCATAAAGTGGACAAATGTGAAGCTCTTGAACATCTCCACTCCTGGACATAAGAGGCAAGCCTCACAATTTTCACCATCACCCAGTGTCAGAATAGCAGTATGTTTAGTGTAGGGAGTTTTGTGTCTTGGAATAAGTGTTCCATCTGTAGTTTTCTCTGTATTTCCCTCAGTCACAACAACGTAGAAGGAATGCAAATGGGATCCAATTAGGAGCACCGCCTTTGCTGGCACCCATAGCAATTATCGTTTACTTGTCCAAGATATAGTTTAGTAGCAATCGAGGCTAGCAGGATTGATTTCTTGTTTTGTTTTAAGTGTAGTTAATCTAATAGTTAATTTATTTAAATTGATAGAGCAGAGCAAGAACTAACAATTCTATTTTTTCCTCTCCATAGATTTTTGTTCAGAAAGCTGAGTTTAAATAGCTGAAAGTGGAATGAAGGGGATTCCCAAATGCCCCAGTAATATCAAGTTTCGTCATCCTG